ACCCTCCATGAGGGGGCTGGAGCTGCCTCCCATCTCAATCTTCCTGCCTCCTGTTTTCTCCATTCTTCTTTCTCTTCTTCTTTCAACTCCCTTTCCTCCCTCCCTCCCTCCCTCCCTGCTGGCTTCCATTTTTCAGGCTGGGTATTGAGGAGCCTCCTGAGAATTCACCCTATACAAGACCAGGAAGGGGGGCCTCTCTGACCCAGGCCTGGGGGTCTCTCTCTATGGTCTGTACCCCTTGGGGTTCTCCTCTTGTATCTTTGATTCCTCAGCAGGCACTCAGCAGGGAGCCTCTGGCTGTCCTAGGCCATGAGCAACAGCAGAGAACAAGACTGATTACCTGGGGAGCCCATGACAGCTGCTGGTCTTGGTGTCACTCAGGGGATCCTGGCAGGTTTTCTTACAGATCAGCTGGTGTTCAGGCTACTGGAGGAAAAACAACCTGTGGGACAGAATAGGGACAGCTGCTGTGACCAGGGGATTTGGTGACCCATAGGTCATTCAACATGGCTGCCAAGGAGAGAAAGAAATTGACCCAAGGCATGCCTGCTTCCTGGGCTCTGTGACTGCTATTTAAAGAAGTCAGTTTTGTGGCTCCAGTCCTGGTACATTCTCCCCCTCCAAGACAGAGGACTCCTCTACTGTTTGGGACAATGGAGAAGGTGTCAGTTGAGGACACAGCTGTGGAGAAACAATGGACTCTGCCTGTAGAAGGAAAGATGGTGAAGAATGTTCTGGGAGACACCTGCAGTATTAATGGTATTTTGTATTAATGGTAATTTTTATTAGTGGTAATTTCTTGTACTGACTAAGTCCATGTTTTATTGCTGTGAAGAGACTCCATGGCCAAGGCAACTGTTATAAAAGAAAGTATTTGATCCAGGCTTGCTGACTGTTTCAGATGTTTACTCCATTTACCATAATGGTGGAATGCATGGTGGCATGCACGAAGACCGGTGCTTTTATAGTTGAGATTTCTACATCCAGATTCACAGGCAGCAGGAAGAGAGAGACACTGGCCTGCCTTGAGCTTTTGAGATGTCAAAGCCCACCTCAGTGGCACACTTCCTTCAACAAGGCCACACCTACTCCAACAACACCAGGTTTCCTAACTACTCTCAAGTAGTGCCACACCCTAATTACCAGGTATCAAATATATGACTCTCGGAGCCATTCCTCTTCCAAACCACGGCACTTGCCGTCCATGATGCTCTGGGTTCCTTACTCATACATAAATTCTTTGCACATGCTCTGTTAGGTTGAGACCTTCTGACTCCATGTCAAGGAGGTGGAACAGGCACATATTTGGCTAATGTGTGTGAGTTTTCAGTGTTGACAGAGTTAGGACTTGAACCCAGAGCATGTTAACCCATATCTCACTTCCATATGACTAAGCTCCACTGTCTTAAAAACACAAATGCATTCCCTTATGTTTATATTACATGTGTGCATCACAGTATTTGTGTGTGTGTGTGTGTGTGTGTGTGTGTGTGTGTGTGCTATAAATGCTTCTCTATCCACAGCACTGCCTGTGCCCAGTACCAGGTCCTCATCTTCGTATGTTCACTAGGGTCCTCTGTGGTCCCAGGAGACCTCTCCTTGCTTCTGTGATATCCTTGTCCTATCAGGATGGTCCCAGCCTGCTGTGTGGTGCCCTTGACACCTGCTCTTCTCCCTGATCCTGGACCTTGTGGTGTTCCTAATCATTATGCAAATAGCAATGCAAAGAATGTTCTCGTTGCCTGTTAGTGCCTGCATTTGAGACTATTTCCTTATGACAGCTGTAGAAGTAGAAGGACTGGGTTCAGGCACTAACATCTCACACAGGCAGTGGGTGAGGATGCTCAGTCCTTCCTTCTGACCAGTGCTCAGGAGTCTATGGGGTTGCCTGGAAGCTGGCAAAGGAAAGAACATGTGTTTAGCAGTGTGGGTTGGCGGCACCAGCTCCTCCTGGGACCTGACCAAAATGAGAGTGGATGATGTGTTCCCATGGTGACAGCTGAAGATACGGTGGCTCACTCTCAGGACTAAACTCTGCCCTTGTAACTGATGACTCAGTTCTTGCCCAGACCTTCCAAGTGTGTACATAGCCTAGGCTGATTTCAAACTCACTGTGTAGCCTAGGAGAACCGTAAACTCCTAATCTTAGGCCTGCCACACCCAAGTGTTATGATCCCGGATATGTGCACGCTCGCCTTGTTCAAGCCTTCTCATATTCACATGAATTCATAATGCAACAGAAAGTACATTTTAAAAAAATGTAAGAGTAAGTCTGAGACATGGCAGGTGTTCTGAAGACCCCTCTCTAAAGTGAAACCCAGGGTCAATTCTTCAGGCTGGCATCATTCCTGTTCAACAATGCTAAAAGGACCTTTGGATTTAAGGTGAGCTAAGGACTTAAGGGATGGAGTCATTTCATCATTGGCAGGTTCAAAAAAATCACATTAATATAGAGATCCATCTTATTTATGGGCAAAATAATTTAAATATCTGGAATGTGCATTGACTCATCTCTGGGTACTCATCCCTATTGTGGCCATTGGGCTGAGGAAGGTTGTGGAGTTTTGTAGGACAGTCAGCAACACCCACCCAGGACTGTAATCTGCCAGGTGGCATATTATCCTTTATATCCAGGAGGCAGAAGCAGAGTGAGTCCATGGAAACCTCCCAGCAGTACCAGGTACAGGTCAGAGTGACTTTAAGGCCAAAGTGGGGGCATAGGGATAGATGACCATCTGTATTTGCCAGTGTTCTCTAGAGTAACAGAACTCATAGAATAAATCTCTTCATATATATAGAAAGGGGATTTATTAGAATGACTCACAGGCTGTGGTTCAGCTAATCCAACAATGGCTGCCCACCAATGGAAGGTTGAAGACTCCAGTAGCTGCTCAGTCTGCTAGGTTGGATGTCTTAGCTGGTCATTAGTATCTGCTGGAATCCTAAAGAAGGAAGCTCTAATGCAAGTGAAGGAGTGGACTTGTTAGTTAGGCAAAAGCAAGCAGGCAATGATCAAAAGCATCCTGTTCTATGTCCTTTTATAGGCTTCCAGCAGAAGGCGTGGCCTAGATATGAGTCAGGGCTTCCCTCCTCAAAAGATCTGTATTAAAGTCATGTCTTCCCATCTCAAGGATCTGGCATAGGATTTCAAATTAAGCAAATATCACCTCACAGGTGTGCCCCACATTTGGGTTTTAATTTAATTCCAGATGTAGTCAAGTTGACAATCAAGTCTAGTCATCACACCACTCACGAGAGTCTACTTGTTCCAGGGGAGTTCTGCAGCTCAGACCCAGAAATAAAATATTAGGAAACAAACCCTTTTGGAAGCCTGTGGGACAAATGTTGAAACACAGTTTGGTAGAGCCAAGTGTGACAGGGAACTATGGGTGTGTCATTTCTTATGTGCACTGTGTTGGGATATTTTTTTAATTAGTTCAAGTGAAAAAAGTTTGAATTATTTTCACCATCTGTACCCAAAGTCCTTGATAGTTCTGAGAACCAGGATGTGGGGCATGGCTTCTTCTGTCTGAAAATCTTTGGGATCAGAAACAAGCTCAGACTTCCTGGTACCCAGTTTCCCATGGCCTCTGGGGCATGTGTGTGCCAATCATCCAGCTACCAAGGAGAGCAGTGCCCTGCTAGGGATGAACAGAGCAGCCAATCCTAACACTGTTTATCAAACAAAAAAGAGAGATTCTGAGAGGGAAAGTACTATATACAATTGTTGGGACCCATACACCTTGGCATGAACCTTTAGGCCAAACTTGGCAAGCCACACAGTTATAGAACTGTCTTTTGATTATAAATGGCTTCTAGAAGCATGAACACCCAGAAGGAACAACATGACCCAGATGTCAGTCCTTTGTTCCAACCACAGGCCCACTTACCTAAGCAACCCTCCTTCGTCCCACCACTCACCTAGATAACCCTCCCTCTCCCCACCACCCATGTACTTTTTACCCTGCCAACATCTTCTTTCTATAGTTTTCTAACATCCTGCTTGAACTAACACCTGGCTCTTGGCCTCTTCTCCCCCTCCCCTTTACCCCATACTACTGACTATAGAAGCTAGCCTGGAAAAAACAAAATCTGCCACTTGATCAGAATCCTGTCTTGTGGTCATTCTCTCTCGTTTCTTGTCCCCATTCCCCTCCCTGGACTTCTTGCTCTAGGTTGCTGTCCTGCGGGTTGGGACAACTATATACAAGGTCTGACTTTGAGGAGAAAATGATAACCCCAAAATTTCTAGAATATTCTTTGCATGTATAGACACATAGGTTGCCCCTACCTGGTTCTCTGCTTCTACAGGCACAGAGGACTAAAACCTCTCCCTCAACACACACACCTGAAGTCTGACCTTTGACCTTGAGATTAGCAAACTGCTCAGTGTGCTGTTTATGTGTTTGTTCACATTTTCCATCCCTTTCCCCACACTGACACCCTTTCCAACCTAATACTCAGGGAACCATTTCTCTCTTCTCCATTCCCTACAGATTGAACAGAGCCCAGGGGAGGCCTGGAGGAGGTGGGCATGTGTTTGCTCACTTGCTTAGCCTGTTTCACAGACTCCTCAGCAAAACACCCCCTAGGTCCTCAGTTTCCCCCAGGGCATGGTCGGTTACATACTCAGAGACAGTCTGTGGCACAATCTCTGGGCTTCTTATATCTCCAAGTCAACATTTGTCCCCACCTGGTCTAGGCAGCCACGGTCCTGGTCCAGCTTCAGGATGCTCACAAGGACCAGTGAGTTCTGCCTCCTGCCCTCCTCCACATCCTTCAGTATCACCATTTCCCCAGCGGCTGGACACCCATAAATCTACTTTCTATCAGGAGTCTGTTGGCCAGATCCTAGGCATCCTAGCTCCTGAGCTGAGCCCCAGATGGCATGATGATCCAATCTGAGGGCTTGTCCATCCTTCCTTGAGTGTAGTGCAGAGAGAAAAAAACCAGATACCAATCAGGCTGCAATCTGAGGGCTTGTCCATCCTTCCTTGAGTGTAGTGCAGAGAGAAAAAACCAGATACCAATCAGGCTGCAAGTTCTTCTGAACTCCGGGCTGGCAATGATACCTAAGTTCACTGAGTTCATCCCAGGAATGAGGCAATTATCCCTCTTTCCCAAGGTAAAATTGTGAGTATGAGGAGGGTGAGGAGCCGAAGAGGTTCTATTTACCAAGGATTCTCGCCCTGGATGTGCTCAAGCAGGACCCAGATGGCCTTAGCTGTGTAGATCCAGCCACCAGCTGCACATCTGAGTCATAAGGAGAAGCAGCCTCTAGGGTGATGGACCGAGCAGGGAAATGGAAACTGAAAGTCTCACTTGAACAGCCATGATCCAATCAACACCCAGGAATGGAGACTTGGAGGGTGTCAGCCACAGCACCCACCTAGCTGACATCATCTCAATATTACTATTCTGCTCTGGCCAACCCATCTCTTGTGGGGCTCCCCATGGTGGTAAGACCCACCACCACCACAAACTGGGGAGCTCTCCACAGATCAGCCCCTGCCCTTTCCTGTTCTGGAAGCTTCCCCAGTGCCCTAGCACACCTCCAACCCCTCCCCTCTCTCACTTCAGCAGAACATCCTTGTCCTGCTGAACTCATCATCCAAGTTGGTTGATGAGGACAGACCTGCTGAGGGTGGCAGGCACAGTGACTTGACACCTGCCTGTGTGGATTCTTCTGCCTCCTGTTTCTGCTCTGCACTCAGACCCCTCACATATTGATTCCTCTGTGCAACCCCAGCATCTGCCATGGCAGACTCCCTGGCTGCCAGATTGGCTCCCATAACCCTCAAATAGAGGAAGCAAAGCCCACTGCTGACAGAAAAGTTTTGTGTCTACAATCTCAGGTAGCAATGGCTGTGGAATACCTCAGGTTTGATCTAGGCAGTAGGAGATATAACATGGCTGGACTTCAGTGGTCAAATGACCCTTGTATCAGGGAAGGTTCCATTCCACACATATATCCTTAGGGCTTGGTGGCCGTTCCTACTCTTGAGAGGACAGCAGGTGGTATTGGATCTCTGCACTACTGTTGCCAACACACTTGCACATTTGACTGGAGTTTAATCAGGACCTGGCTGCAGATTCACCTGAAAGAGAGATTAAGGTTCTCATCCTCCAGGTACTTAAGCAGAGCCCATCCCACCTGGGCATCCTGAAGATATGCTGAAGTATAGTTCAGTTGACCAGCGCCATGACAAGAAATGTCATTCAGGGCAGTTGCCAGTTTAGAGGTGGGGATGCCGAAAAGACCTTTGGTCTAGAGGCTATTGCAACTATTGGGAGTATGACCTTAATGCCAAGGAGAACAAACTTGCAATGGCTTTGGCAAGCAGAGGATGAACACTAGCACCACCTAGGGGACCTCAGAGGGTCAGCAGCCAAGGCATCTGGGTATCCTGCTTATTACATCAGTCCAGTCCATACAATGGAGAGTGTGCTCAACTCAAACATGCTGGATACTGTAGAAGGTACCCTGAAACATGGGTCCATCTCTCTACTGGTCTCCCTTTATTTAGGGACATCACAAAGTAGTAACAAGGGTGTTTTCCAACAATCTATATGAAATGGGGCTTCAGAACTCACTCAAGAGACAAACATCCCAGGGCTGCAAAACACAGGAAATAGAGAGAGGTACTTTCCAGGGTCATAGCTCTGGGTGACCACATGGCAGCAGAAGAGGCAGACACTTGCCCCAGGTGGTGAGTCTAGTCGACCGTCTGAATCCAAGAAGAATCCCATTTGTCTTTGCTCAGATGAGACACCAGTGCCCAAATAACAAGAGCTAATAACTTCAAGGAAGATCATAGAGGAACAGAATTAGGGGATGGGGTGTCACTCACAATTGTCATATTTTGATGACAAAGTGCAGAAAACTCACCTTCAGGTTGACGCAAGTGCAAAGGTCAGGATTAGCAGGTTTATCTGCAGAGGAAACACAGTAGCCCTGTGATTCCCTTAAGACAGGATCTAGTGATTGACACAGAGCCTGTGGCTTGCCTCTCTGCAGAGTCCTCAGGATGGTGCCAGTGAGCTTTAAGGAGAGAGAGGATCCAGCTTCAATTTCAGTGGTTCCCAAATAGGAGTGGGGAGGAGAGAAAGGGGGTCCATGATAGTCACTCCACCAGGTAGTTCTGCTGGATGGTATAAGGGCACCACTGGCTCCTTATTCACTACACAGATGGTTGCCTGGTGTCACTGTCATGACATTGTACCTCAAATATCCCTAGATACCACCTCCTCTGTTGTAGTAGACTAGGGAGATGTGTCTTGTTTGGTCCCCAATGGTTGCTGCTATTGACGCAAGCTATACAACATATTCCAAAGCCAGTCTCCATAGCCAGATAGAAGCACCAACTGCAATGTTGACAGTACAGTCTACAAGGCAGCAATTGCAGATCATAGCCTACATTGTACCATTCACACACACACACACACACACACACACACACACACACACACAAACACACAGGGAAATTGACACAGTAGTAAGTTGGAAGCCCTGAAATGTGGTCTGATCTTGAGATGCAGACAGTGAGTATCTGTGTATTCCATCATCTTGGGAAGTGGGTTGTGTTTACTTGCTCTTGTCCTGGGCTTTCCAGATCTATGGCAGGTTACGAGGTTATGTGTCTAGTTGAGAAGGAGGACACAGATGGCTAAACCCAAGGATGTGAGTGCTGAATAATTGCACATTCACATACTGCTTGGTTTTTTACTCCCTTCAGGGTGTACCTCTATCATCTATTGCTCTCTTCATTCCTTGGCTAGATAGTCCAAGAATCCACTCACCTCAACCAACCTATTGTTGTCTCCTGGGAATTTGCAATTGTATTGGTGGGGCCTTAGAGGTCAAGGTGTTTGGACCTAAGCCATCTGATGGCTGAGCACTGAGAGGGTGTCCACACTTTCCTTTCTTGAGTTGATTTTGTTCTTTTCTATCCTCTGAATGTATAATTTTTAATGGGTCTCTTTTTGTTCAAATCAGCCAACTCTAATTCTGTTGTTTTCCACCTAGAGCTCTGATTGCATAGTTATCATGAATGAAGTCAGTGATCTAGGCCCAAGGGAAACTTTAGCACTTGGAGCCCGATGTACTCGGTCCCCAAGGAACATCAAGAAAAAATGTAAAGTAGAAAATGGATAATATTTGACAAAGAAGTGAAACACATTATTTGGATGACAGGTTAAAAAGTGACAATAGGGCCGAGTGTTGGTGGCACACGCTTTTAGTCCCAGCACTTGGGAGGTGAGGCAAGCAGATTTCTGTGAGTTTGAGGCCAGCCTGGTCTACAAGACCGAGTGCCAGGACAGCCTTCAAAGCCACAGAGAAACCCTGTCTTGAAAAAACAAAAACAACACAAACAAACAAACAAACAAACAAAAAGTGACAATAGCTCTGTGGACTTCTTCAGGAGAAATGGAAGAATCTATTGCAGGTCACAGGGGAACCTGGGCCAATGCCAATTAGAGAAACAGTAAGAAGTCTTCAGCAAGGTTGTAGGCACTAAGGGGCTCACTGAGCACTGAAGCTTCCCTAGGAGTGACAGGTGGTGTTGGGATAGGTTTGCACACCCCACACAATGCTCCTGTATAGGGAGGACTTCCACTCATTTGTGTCCATGGATATATGGAGACTTGATGCAGTTAGTGTGGACTCACACTAACCCTAACCCTTGTCACTTCTCCATAACAGAAGATTCTGAGGATGGTCCCTTAAAGCCTCCTCAGAACGTTCTGTCAGGTTTAGTCATCCATGTGAACAGTGGAATGAAGAATTTGTCATTTTATCACTACTGCTCTTCCTCTGTCATTCCTCACAGTCACTCAACAGGCTCCAGAATCAGTCCTTGATAAGCCCCTGTGTGATCCTTACCCCTGGAGGTGCTTTGAACCCCCTGGGTACAACACTCACCTGTATTTATCATGAAATTGTAGGATTTTATCTAAAGGGTAGTTGCAGCCATCAAGGAGTTTCAAGCTGGTATTTAACCAAATCTATGCTCTCAAGACCAAGAAGACTCCTTCAGAAAATATGCAGGGGGCAGTGACAGAAGAAATTTATGGATGCTTTTGCAGGTCAGTGAGGGACCCAAGAGCAGATAGGAGGCGGGGTTCTGCTGTCTAGCTATCTCTCTGTAGCTGGCCCCTTTATACAGGTCCCTGAGCCTAGGTAATCTTGGCCTTTCATGATGGGGAGGAATTCACATGTGCCCAGCCATGCTGACAGGCATGGTTTTCAACCATTGCTCCAGAGGGATCTGTATATGGTAGAGACCAAAGGAAGTGCCTGATTGAGAGGGAGAGAGAGATTGCACATGAAGGCAATGGAGGACTCAATTCCTTGACACCACACACAATGTTCACGATGAAGAGAAGCTAGGCATGTGATAGCTCGGTTATCAGTCAGCCCAAACTACACAGGTTCAGTGTGTCATTGCAGGGACCCAACTTGGCTTGACTGCAGCCATCTTGAGATGCAGCCATCAAGAGTGGTCATGAGAAATCCCACCCTGCTTTTCTGTACCGTCTCCCTGCCATTTCAGTGGCACATGGTCATTACCACAGGACTCTGTGCTGTCATTGTTAGAAATGTGCCTGCTGTCCTCGATGTCAGTGAGACAAGAACAGACACTCTCTGGCTATGGTGAATGTCCATTATCCTGCTCACCCCACAAGCCCTCCCTCTAAGCCCTGGCAGGCCACCTGGCTTCCTGCTTCCCTCGACCTCAGGTAGTCCATAGCTCCCCATTAAAGACTATAGTAGGTGGCATCTCAGCACTTTTTATTTCTTTGTCCCATGCCACTTTCTCTCGCATGGTTGACTGCTATCCATTTTTAGGTGGCATCTCAGCACTTTTTATTTCTTTGTCCCATGCCACTTTCTCTTGCATGGTTGACTGCTATCCATTTCCCCCTGAACTGTCAATGACGTTTATTCAAACCAAGCCT